TTAGTTAATTAAAATTGACTATAGTATATGTTGTTATTTCATTCTATGATGTAAGTAATAACGCGTCCAATCCAAATGGCTACAATTTAAATTATTGACACTTTCTAACAAACGGCTGTCTCAACGAAATTCAAGACTTGGTAGTAATTATATTATAGCTACATACGGCGGCAATGGGCAACACACGGTATTACCATAAACAATACACAATATGCGTTAATATAATATAAATACAACAGATGATATAGTCTCGTTGGTTTTAGTTCATGACATACTCTCAGCACAGGTTGTAATTATCAACAAATAGCACATATTTTTATTACAAACAACACATATTGTATATTATAAAGGCATACATATACTGATTTGAAAAATCGGCATGGTAATCAGCACCGTAACACTCCCCGCATACATACATACAATCTTAGTTGTAATTATATTAAAAGTAACCATTAGATATATAAATAGTTTATATATGTATATGGAAAGTTTCTTGTCTGACTTTGGCATTGATGTGGATGTGGTAGTAGTAAGTAGAAGTTTAATATAATTTATATTTGTGTTACACTTACACGCTTCCCTCTATTTTAAAACTCGTCAGTTGTAATCCATATACACACGTACACACACTACTCTTCAATAAAAATTTATTTATTTATTTTTCTTTTAATTTCCAATGATATGTATATAATTACTTAGTCATTGAGAGATATATGCAATCTTGCTCGATCGGTGGCTGTCGGTGTGTAAGACTTTGTGATTGACATTTGTAGTTAATAATATAAGATGATAATTAAGGATGTCAATGGGGACGAGTTAGCGGAGCGGATCCGGTTTTAATGAGCCGAGTTCGGGTCTAAAAAATTTGATTTGAGTCGGGCTGTGGATTTTCAATTTTAGATCCAGATGGGTTCGGGGCGAGTTACGAGTTTTACTATAAACCCGCCTCACCCTGGACCCGGACCCGAACCAAGATATTTTAATAATTATTATAATTTATTTATATTTTCATACAATATAAATTATATTATTTTGTATTTAAAAAAAATTTAATATAAAATATAGAACTTTAATTCTAAATTAAATTTATGTTCGCATTTGTTTCTCCTACAATTCTCTTTATAATCGACTACTGTTGACTGCCATCACTACAAACTATCGTCAATATTTGATTGTTCTTATTTTTAGAACTATAATTTTTTGCTACTTTGACGCATATTTTTTTTTTAATATTAAATCAAGTTTTTAAAAAATTATTTTATTTTTATAAAAAAAAAAAACGAATTTGTCAGATTGATCCCAAACCCGGAGGATTTGGGGTGAGACAGATCCTGGGGGGCGAGTTGAAGTGGGACGGGGAAGGTCTTGGGTCATAATATTTTCTAACGGGCGGGTCCCGGGGCCTTCAAAACTCGTCCCGAACTCGCCCCGTTAGCATCCCTAATGATAATATACTATGTCTTATCGATGCTCACCTGATCTATCCCCTTTTAAAGAAAATAGGAGTAATTACAATATGTCACGAGTTGGGTATTTGATGTTCAACAACCCTTATATATAATATAATTAGCACACTCGAGGAATAGTGATTGTGGTTTCATATTATAAAAAATAAAATAAAAGATAATTATATGTAAGTTGTGGGGTGTGTTTGACTTTGCTCATTATATATACAAGGAATTAAGGGGAGATTATCATTTGTAGTGTTGACATTTTCACACAAGAGTTAGTTATAGGAGAAATTAAGGAAGGTAATTAAGGGTTTTCGAATTAATTAATTATTTAAGAGACGAGGAGATTCCATGCAAGTACTATTAGTTAATTAATCAGTTTCTTTATGAATTAAACAACGCTGATTGATTCAAGCATTTCTTGAAATTAATTAATTAATACATTTATTTATTTATTTATTTTTGTATTAGCAAATGATCGCTTTCTCTTGTTGCTGTAAACAGCTGCACAAGTTTGCAAACCCTTAATTATATTTAAACTTGATTTTTACGACAAATATATTCAGTTGCCCATACACTAAAAAAAAAATAATACATATATATGTAACGGAATTACGTCCCTAAAGTTCACGTAACTAACGTAATTCGGTTCCTAATTCCGTCTCTAATGTCATTAGTAACGAAAAAAATAGATTTAGAGACAAAAAAATTTTGTTAAAAAATAATTTTTTCTTGTAGTGATAGGATCCTTTATCCAAAAAATAAACTCTATCCCTCTATCATCGCACACATAATATATATATACAAATACGTATGTTGTATATACATTATGTGTGTGGAGATAGGATAATAGAGAGTATTAATAGGACAAAGGATCCCATGGGCAACTGAATATAATATTTAATAGGATAGAGGATCCGGTCTTATTCAGTTGGTTCACACAGCATTCTCAATGAGCAATTCTCTATAAATACTATCATTATTTAATATAATATATATTATTCATTTATAAAAAAAATTAATTATTCAATACAAAATATTATTTTTTTTTTATATTATTGACACAGTTACTCATATTATATACAAAAAAAAAATCAATTCATCTAAAACTGTTGCAGAGACTGACTGTTTAGTACTAAAAATTTGATGATATTGTGCAGATTTGCTTTAGGTGAAGTTTTGGTGGGAAACTTTGTTACAATTTTTCTTTCCTTTTGTTTTTTTAAAGAAAAAATTACATAATCACAATTTAGAAGAAAATAATATTATATATATATATATAATCAGGAGATTAGAGGCACCTCTAGGTTCATTTGAACTATCAATTGGATATGAACTGCAATTAGTCATCTTTATATTGAAATTTAGATTGAATATGAATTATGTAAATTTTAATTATTGATTTTTTTGCTTTGATATTTCTAATTTATCTAATTTCAAGCTATTTATTTTTAATTGATACTGTAGAAGACATTTCATTCTTTTCGGGACAACTAATAGTATTTTTCAGTGTATATATAATGTGTGATGATATTTTGGTAAACAAAAGTAAAAATAGATGTAAATTTGTAATTGGCTAGTGTTGTAAATGTATATCCCGGATCGATGAGTTTAATAATGTTATATTATGCAAAAAGATGAAAATCCTTTTTTGCTATTTTTGTCAATAAGCAGACATCAGTCAAATTGTCGCAAATATTATGTAACACAGATTGACAATATCACAGACAGGTACCGTAGCCAAGATGCCACCTTTGGAAAGTCAAACCTACTTATTATTTAATGTATTGAGACAAATCGATTTGTCTTATGTAGAAGACGTGCAAGAGAAAATATTGACATGCCGCATTCGTTCTGCAAAACATTTATTGCTTCGTACCTGTTGCCACAAAATTACACACAGTCAACTTATCTTCTTGTGTGCGGGCTTGTGTTTTGTTTTGTATGTATGTGTGTCTTCGAGGATGATACACAAGAACTTTGAGTGTATTTTTCTCTCCACCTGATATAGCATCGAGAGGTTCATCCATCAAAGTTTAAAGAGACGAAAAGAAGGATTCTTGAAGTCGAAACCAAAGGAGATAACCATTCAGCATGCAACTTTTTTCTTAGTTTAACCGTTGGCCTGCTAGAGTCGCTACAGAGTAGTAACGGTCAATTCATAAGAATTTGTAAAACTAAACGGAGTTGGGTAGAAAATAGGTTGAGTAATTTTGTATAGTGTCTTGTGTGGTGTGAACCGATGATTTGGTTTACTTAAGATTTTTGGATTGTAATCCCCGTCACAACAAAACTAGGTAAACAAACTTAATTGTAAGTTGTTTTTTTATGTGCATTTATTTTGCCATCCATCTGCGTATGAACAATATGCAGTTTCAACAACGCGCAATTACATTGTAAAACTGTGTTTACGTAGAAACATTTGACAATTTTGCTGTCCAAATTACTCGAAGGCAAGCTACTCGAAGGTGTTGGATCTCTTATTCGATCGGTGTCCCGGTTTCCAACAAATTCAAACAATATTTTGTATACAAAATTATTCAAAATGAATTAACGGAAACAAATTTGAATAAAACCAAAACAATATTCGAAATTGAAAAGAAATTAATAACCAAGGCATTTTGGATTTTAGAATCATAACTCCAAATATACAAACCACACAGAACCTTAACTTGGAATTAAGAAATTAAGGTAAGAAAGGAGAAGACTTCCTGTTTGGTGAGTTCCAAATCGGACGCCCAGAACTCATGTAAGTACATGGCGGTCGGCGGCTTCTTCTCCGGTCATCATCTCGGCCGGACAGCAGCGGCAAACTCCAGCAACGAACAGAGGTGGCTTCGACACTATAAATAAAAATGAATTATTTAAATGTGACAATCTTATATAGAAAATAACACTATGTAGGTGGAATAAAAAAAATACTATCTCTTTCTCAAATATTCTACAATATTTTTTTATTTTCTTTTTATTTAGCCCACATACTTTGTAATATTTTTGAAATAATAAATAATTAATTTTCTTATAAATATACAAGACTAATATGATATTGTCTGTTTTGAACTGAATCATACAGATTTGTTTTTGCATTTCTTTAAAAGGCCTCGTACTAATAGAGTGTGAAAATTTTCCTACTTAATATTTATATCAAACTTTTTTAAATGATCATTTGAAATTTTGTAATAAATTAAGAAATAATCGTATTTTATTAGTTAGTGAGAGTGCATAAAAAAATTTGATATTTTTGTTATTTGACTTTTTATAATAAATAAGTGTACATCTAATGTACATTTCTAACTTAAATTAAAAATATTTTAATACTCGTGTATAATTATTTTGTTTAAAAAAAATTAAATATTTTAAAATGAAACAGAATAAAAATAATAAAAAAATTACTTTGAAACGAAAAACGAAACGAATAATATCTAAATTTTTTATTAAAATTAAACATTGTACTTATATAGGTCGGAGGTAATATGATAAAAGTGATTATTATTACACGTGTATGTTTATTTATAGACATACAGGCAGCCACGTACAGGGACGCGTGTCGATCAGCGGATATGCATGCCTCTCCAGCTTATTACACCTGTTGGCTGTCGCACCCACACTCACTCATTACACAGATATACGCTGTCCCTCATCGCCGGCGTCGTAATTAAGCTCACCGCCATGGATTCCGACGACGACGTCAGCAACCACAAGGATTACCAGATCCCTCCTTCTAGTTCTCCTGCCCTAGGAAACCCGCTAGTTCTATGCCGGAATCTGGTGTCGTCTCAGGCGGAGCTGATCTCGATCTCCGTCGTCAGCCTGGCGTCGCCTTTCCTCCGCCGCCTCCTGCTGGGGCTGCTGGTGGCGGCGTACGTCTGCATCCTGCTGCTGATGGTGATGGCGGCGGCGGCTGTGCTGGGAGTGGGCCTGGTGAGGATGGTGGTGGAGGAGCCGGTCGCCGTCCGGGAGAGCCTGCAGTTGGATTACTCGGCGCCACACCCGACGGCGGTCTTCAGCTTCCGGAAGATGGGCGGCGCCGCCGTGCCGGTCGGACAAACCCTCCATGTCTCTTTGCTCCTTGTCATGCCTGAATCTGACTACAACATAGACGTTGGGATTTTCCAGGTAATAAGCATATTATAATTATTATTATTGTTATTATTATTATTATTATTATTATTCATTTCTTGAAATGTTTTTATTTATTTTGGTTGGATAAATTTGGATTTGACAGAAAAATTTACTCTACTCTATATTTTGCGTCCCAAAATAGGTCGGTAGATATGGAAATTTAGCTAAAAAAAAATAAAAATAAATATTTAGTAAGTAATTGAAAAATATATTACTAAAATAATTATTATTTAGTAAAATTAATTATAGATTAAGATAATTAAATAATTAATTAAAATTAAAAATTATATAAAATAGAAATTTAAAGTGTAACTATTTATAATTATATTTCTAAGAAAAATACAAATTTTGTGGAATGAAAATAGAAAATAAGGATAAATTATAAGGGTGAGTATTCGGATTTTCATTTCGGATTTTTCCAAATCTGAACCGATTCGAAAATCCGAAATTTTTAAAAAAATCAATTCGAACTGAACCGAAATAACTGAAATTTGAAAATTTTGAAAAAACGAACTAAGAACAAATTGAAAATTTTGAAATTCTAAATATTTTTTATTATTCTTCTAATTTGTAAATTTTTTTATATTTTATTATTGTTTTATAATATTAAATATGTATATAATATATAAAAATTAAATATATTAAAATATAATTAATAATTTTCAGTTCTTTATACTAAAATATAATATTTTATAATAAAATATTAAATATATATAATAAAAAAATATATTAAAATGTTATATTTCGAATTTCGGATTGATTCGGATTTTAAGTATACCGATCGGATCCGAAAATTCGAAATTTGTCAAAAATTCAATCCGAACCAATTCGAAAATCCGAACTAAATTTTAAATTTCAATTTGGTTTGAATCGAATTTTCGGATTTCGAATATTTTGCTCACCCCTAACAAATTATGTGGAATGGAGAAGTAAATAAAAGGACAGAGTATTTGAAATGTTACTATGGTACATGTATTTGAAAGACAAACGATAGATTTGAAAGAAGTCGGTAATGGATCACATGCTGAATTAATCACGTGCATTGAATGTTTACAAATTTAGTGTGTTTATTTTGTGAAAATAGATGGAAATAAAAAAAATAATATGCGAGGTATAAAAAATTATATAGAGTATAAAAATAATGAATATATACACTGTATTAACTTTTTTAAAAAAAATTAGAAAAAACAAACTTGTAACATTTTATTATCTCTATTACATAATATAATAAGTATAATTATCTAAATAAATTTTAGTAGTAGAAAATAAATATGTGAGGTTTGTTTTTTGAATGAGCTTCCCCTCGCATTACATTTATTTGTATGAGATATTCAAATTTATATGGAAAAGTATAGATATCAGTGTTTCAAATCTCAATATAGTTGAGTAATTGACCTTCGTTGAGGGGTTGACTTGGTCCGTGTTGATTTGATTAAATTAATACCAGAGGCGGAAATATCATGGTTAAATAAGTATGGACGGTTTTTAAAATATGTAGCATAAGCTTGACCTATAAGTCTTAGAAAAAATATATATTTTAAAAAATTAAGCTGAATTTTTTTAAAATTCTGGTCTGGCCTATAAGTAAAGACTATATAATAATTTTATTTATTTATTTATTTTTAAATAATTTAAAAATCCATTTTATAATAAATTTATGATTAAAATTATTTAATAATATTATCATAGATATAAGTTATTCTTAATAAATGCTTATAATGATAATATATTTTTATAAAAACATAATAATAATAATAATAATAATAATAATAATAATAATAACCAATAGATCCGCTTGTTAATTAGAAAAGTTGTTCTTTTTTTTTTATTATTTTTATTTTTAAGCTTAGCTTTAAAAAAAAAAATTACCTTAATTTTTTTAATAAATAGATTAGGTCAAACTAGATTTTATGTAAGTCCCTAACAGTGGCATCATCTATTTTCATCTCTAATTAGCACACTAATTTGAAGTAATTAGCATTTTTAAAAACAGATAACATATATTTTATTTTATAGAAGTACGAGCAACGTTGGTTTATAAGCTCATTTGGCCTAAACCAAAAATACAGTGAGGGATGAAAATTATTTTTTTTTCTACTTCTCAAGGTATAATAACGCAGTTCAAAAAATAAAATAAAATAAAATAAAATTTTCTTAATTACACGTAAGATATATAAGGCACAAGTCGTCCATTCATCATTAGATAAAAGAGGGAAAATTCGAACATAAAAGGGAAAACACACACATACACACACCCAATTTCCTAATTGTTAAAATTGCATTAAACCTTGGTAGAATATTGTTCGGATATAGTATGCTTTTGCTTTAATGATATTGATTGTCGAATAATATTGTAGACTGAAAAAAAATAATAATAATAGCCTTTGTTTAATAATGTTGATTGGATAATTATGTTAGCATATATTGACATATGATTAAAAAAACAAGCTATATTGGTCTCATCGACCATAAATATTTATATTTTAAATTATGTATCTCACTTTCACAAATTAAAAAAAAATAATAATAAAAATGAACTTCATCGAATTTCAGCATACTAATTTTTGTAAGTAGAATTTTAACTCATTTTTTATTCTTAATGTTTGTGATCCGATAGGATATAACTCATGAAAACTACAAATTTAATTCTACATATACACTATACCACTGATTTATCTGGGTATCTATATATACCTTGGATATTTAGATATGCTTTGAAAGTGTCACGATGTTTTGAGTTGTTTTGATAATAATAAAAAGTTAAATAAAAAGTTAAATAAAAAAAATAATTTGATACGATGTAAATAAATATTGATGCAAAAATTTAAATAGATAATATATATTTTATAGGATATTTGTCAGAAAAAATAAACCATGAAAAAAAAAAGGATGAAAACGTAAGTAGAACCATTATACTTTTGCATAGTTTGTATATATGTTGGTATGAATATTTGTTGTGCATCTTTTGAATTTTAGGATGAAAAAAAAGAAAGGAAGAAGTGGAGCATAGGGTATGTTTTTTGTTTAAATAATGATCAAATACGATATTTTGTGGAAAAAAAATAAATAAATAATACTCTAAATTTTTATAGAGAATTGAATAATAAATTTTTTAAAAAAAGAACCAAGCTATAATAACAATAGTGCCAAGTTCCCGAATACAAGTAATAATCGAGTATACTGCTGACCGTATTTATATAATTTGTATCAGTTGAGCGCTGAGTTGATCTCAGTTAGAGGAGAGTTGGTTGCAAAATCAAGCCATCCATACATGTTGAAGTTCCGGAGCTTTCCGATCCGGCTTCTTAGGACATTTGTAATGGGGGTACCGTTGCTGCTCGGTCTTACCTCGGAAACTCAGACTGCAGTCTTCCCGATTCTCAAACACAAAGAGACAAGCTACCCTCGAACAGATAAAGTCCGGATCACCATAAATCCACGGGCGGGCGAGCCGGCCCTTCCTCAATTATACGAGGCGCAACTCGTGATGGTGTCCCGGCTTCCGTGGATGAAGGCGTTGATCTACCGATGGAAATGGACATTATATGTTTGGACAACCTTGTACATATTTGTCCTATTTGTCATGCTTCTTGTCGTGTTCTTGAAACCTCTCGTGTTCCCAGTTATCGCAGCGCACCCTGTCGAGCACGAGCGTGATTCCTCGTCGTTGGGATTGGGGTTGGTGTCTCGAGAAAAGATGATGATGCCGAGGATGGGAGAGGAAAGAGGGGTGTCCGAATCGCTTAGGAGATGGCAACGGAGTAGGAATAAAAGAAAAGCCGCACTTTTTCAAGGATTGATGGCGGAGGCGGATAGAGTCGACTCCTCGGCTTCGAGCATTGTGTGTAGCCCAAGCTTCGAAGAAGGCAGTGCCGAATCGGAATCGGTGTGTTTTAAAGAATGAAGTGGCCAGACATGATATGGTACCGTATGTTTTTTTTTTTTTTTGCTTTTCGCGAAAGAGCTTTTAACTTTTAACGAGTCGAAATATGGTCAGTGAGCTTTTATTGAATTAGCTTTGCTTTTGTGCTAATTACTTATATTTATTTTGGATTAGGATTTAATTTAGATGTTAATATTTAGTTTTTATTGAGGGTGAAATATAATTTTGTTATAAATCTTCAAAATTATGTATACAAATATATATATAAAAGAATAGCATTGCAGCGGTTATGGGGGTGTGATTTGAACTGATATATTTTTATTTTTATTTATTTATACAGAGTAAATTGTTTTATTAGGTCCCGTAACTGGACTCTTTATCATTGTAAATGGAGTCTGTCGCAAACTAGTGGAGTCTGTCGCAAACTAGTTCCATAAGTGAAAAATTTTCGTTATTTTAGTCCTCATGCGTCGGAGTCGCCCGCGTGACTCGCCGAAGGTAACGTGTCCGCCGGGTGTCCCGTCAGATCAGCGACACCTGGCGGACGAGTGGATTTATTTATTTTTTTTTCATTTTTTTAATTGGACCAAATAAAAAAAATACAAATAAAATTTAAAATAAATTAAAAATAAATTTTTAAAAAAATGAAAAAAAAAAAAAAATCCACGTGTCCGCCAGGTCGTCACCTCCGGCGAGCCAGGCATCTCCGGCGCCGGAGGACTAAAACAGCGAAAAATTTTTACTTATGTGACTAGTTTGCAACAAGCACAAATTTTTTTTTTTTTTTTTTTTTTATAGACGCTTCCATATATATTACTTTCTTTCACCAATTTTTTTATAACTCCATTATTAATTCTTTTCCCAATAATTTCACATTCTAAATCAACTCTTATTATTATTAAAAAGATTTAAATATCTATATCATGTAAAAGATTTATGTCTTTAGAATTCAAAATTTAAACAAACATAAAAAATAGCATAATCATACGTGTTGGGTCGTCTGTTCGCATGAATTTTTTGCAAAAAATTTGTACCTTGGTTTTTCTCTCTTAATCAGGTAATTTTTACACTTGAAATTGTAAATTATTAGTATATTTTTTACTATTCATTTGTTGTTTATAAAATTTTTAAGGTTCATGTGTTTTAATACATTATTGTTATTTTTTTATTGTAATATAGTGATGTATAAAAAGAATAACGACAAAAAATTATCATAATTCCAATAAAAGAATACAAAAAAGTGTGAAATTAATTACCTTTTACACAAAAAACACATTTTTTTAGCGAAAACCATAGATGTGTTTTCCGCAAGCCCTCGTTTTCACTGAAAACAAGTGTCTTTTTACCTGATATGAATTTTTCTTGCAGAAATATACTATATTTCTGCGAGAAACACTAAATTTTAAAGACAATTCTATTTGCAATAAAAGATAACTGTACGTATATAAATTCAAAATTGTATTTATATAAGAATCAAGTTGTGCTCCACCCTAATTTGTACTTCTATTAAAAATAACTTGTACTTCAATATTAAAATTGAAATTTTATTTATTTATTTTTTTACGGTATTCGGATGCAATCCTTAACAATACATACTATTTTTCATCTTAAATGTAAATATATATGTACATATAAATATTGTAGTTGTATATATAAATATATATGGAATCTCAACTGTAAATATATATAAAAATATAAATATTATTACAAGTATATATAAATATATATATATGTAAGTGTTTATTTAAAAATGTGAGTCAAATATAAATGTAAATATATATAAATAAATATATATATTCATAAAATTATTTATAAATATTGTATATACAATTTTATATATATAATAATATATATGTACATGTATATATATATTTTTCAAAAAAATGGTACGCGGAAGAATGTGTTATAATAGAAGACAGTTGTATCTGCACAAAGTTTAAATTTATACCTACGTAGATATTATGTTGCACATGGCCTTTGCTAGGTTTGTACCTATACCAAAAGAAACTTATACCTTGATGCCAAAGTCGAGATTTTTGGGTTTCGCCAGGTTATTCGGATGCAACCGTATATTTTAAAAAAAGCACATATTTCCTAAATTATAAGAAAGATTTTCAACAATATAACACTATTTTTCATGTTAAAATATAAATGTATATGTAAATGAAAATATCATAATTGTATATATAAACGTATATATAAGAGTTGTTTATAAATGTTAGTCAAATATAAATGTCAATAAATATCTATTTGTAAAAATTATTTATAAATATTGTATATACAATTGTTTATATTAATATATACATAAATATATATGTTGTAATCATCTCGAAAAAATAATACCCGAGAGAGTGTATCTACAATAGAAGATCATTATACCTACACAAGTTAAAAAATGTACTTACATAGGAATCATGTTTCACTTGACCTCGTTAGGCTCTTACTTGTACTAGAAGAAACTTGTACTTTGAGATCGAATTCAATTTTTTTTTTGTTTCTTTCACCGTTTTCGGATGCAACCGTACATCTACTTTAACAAGGAGCACATATTTCACAAATTATAAGAAAAATCCCCAACAACATAACATTATTCTTCATGTCAAGTGTAAATTTATATGTAAATAAATATATATCATAAAATTATTTATAAATATTGTATATACAATTATACATATTATTGTATACATAGATGTATATATATATATATATTGTAACCGCTTCGAAGAAATGATACGCAGAAAATTGTGCCAACAATAGAAGACAGTTGTACCTATACAAGTTCAAAGTTATACCTACATAGGTATTATATTGCATTTGACTCTTCATAGTTTTGTACATGTACCAGAAGAAACTTATACTTCGAGATCACAGTCGATATTTTTATATTTTTCCAACTAATTTAAATGCAACCGTATGTATACTTTAACAAATAGCATATATCTTATAAATTACTGGAAAAAATACTGATAATATATTTTTTTCATGTCAAGTGTAAATTATATGTAAATATGAAAGTTGTAATTATATATATATATATAAATATATGTCTTTTATAAAATTAGTAAGTATAGATATAAATGTATTTGTAAATAAATATATATATTCATAAAAGTTGTTTATAAGTATTGCATATACAATTATATAATATATATTAATGTATACGTAAATTCAAGAAAAATCTTCGATAATATAACGTTATTTTTCATGTAAAATCGTCTTTATAATCCCAAAATTCACTTTCATCGTCACTTTTTATGTGGGACACGAGAAAAAATTATTTTAAATATGTAGTATTGATTGAGCACGATAAGGTAATAAAATTGCTTCAAAAAATAGTACGCGAAATATTGTATTTACTACAAAAAACGGTTATACCTGCATAAGCTAAAGTCCTATCTATCTACGTAGGAATTAAGTTGCACTTTGTTCAAAATCTCGTGGTTGCACTTGAAAAATACATGCACTGTTTTTTATTTCATTTTTTTTTCCTTTTTGTCTTATTCATTTTTCATTATTTTTAATTTTTTTCTTTTTAAAATTTATTGAAAGATCTATAATAAAAATACTCCCTCTGTCCCATATCTATATATCAATTTGTTTTTTGTACGGAGTTTTAGAAATATTAGTATTATATTGGGATAAAGTAGAAATAAATATAAAAAGACTAAATTAACCCTATTAGTATAGTATGATATAAATGTAACGACATTTGTGTAATATATTGTAAATTTGAAGGGTATTTGTAATGTTAAGCAGAGAGTACAATTACTAAAAAAATGAAATAGATATTTTGTTATGGGACGGACCAAAATTGAAAAATAGATAGATTGTTAAGGGACTGAATGAGTATATATTTTTTATTAACAATTTTTTTAAAAAAATACCGACCAATAATATTTAAAATTTTGAATTAATTTATTTTAGATATTTATTTTAAAATATTTATTATTTAAACTCTAAAATATAACTATTTTTTATGTTAAATATATAAAGTTTTGTATTTTTTAAAAAATTCGTGAGTTTACCCGTTTGACTCGCCACCCGTTAATGTATTGAGTTGGACTGCCTAAACTTTAGTCAGTTCCGATTTTAATTAGCCCGCAAATAACCCACTTTAAAATTGGGACAAATTTTTGTACTAGAACACACCCATATATGTCTCGATCAAACACTCATTATTTAATCAGTATCTGTGCCGAAGCTCAATGTTTCGGGACAATAACCACAGCCAAACGACGATTTTATTCGGACAAACAAATACATCTGTAATAACATACATTATTTCTACATATGTTGTAACTAACTTATAACTTATGGATTGTCTTCATATCCGCAGCTCCCCTAAGAGTCCCATTCTTGACATGATCCCACCACTCGAACAAGAAGTTGTCGACGACTAATCTGAACCATGGCGACAGCACCACGCCGTCCTCGCCGGCGTCCGCCTTTCTCAAGATCTCCCTCAGCTCCTCCCGGTCGACGTATTTGACGTTGTTTACTTCATCAGGATTCGGCTGCATCGCAACGTCGCGGACAATGAAGAGAAGATAGTCCACTGCATAAAAAAAAAAAAAAAAAAGAACTTTGTTAGGACACACAGGAGTTTAAAAAATAAAATAAAACAATGATGTCTGAATGAATCGACGCGCATTCGTGCTCGCCCCATTTGCCGTCCGACGGCGCCTTGTAAAGTATACGGCCTAATGGAATAAACTGATCGACAGGGAGATCCTCGCCGGGAATGCCCAGTTCGTCCAACAGCTTTCTTTGTGCAGCATTTCTAACACCTTCGAGTAGAACGAATTTGGACCATTAGACAATCGGACAAACCATTTTGTTTAAACTAAGAATCGATATAGATCGTTGTTGAGATATTTTCGATATTTAATGTATTTTGTTATGATTTTTAGATTATGTTTCTATTATCTTAGATTATGATGTTATTATGTTTCTATTCGGTTTGTATCTCGCTTATTTATAAACCTCTAATTTCATTTTTAATAATACTTCTTCTGTCCACTCGGTAAGCGCATGTTTTGTCCTTTTTTTGTTTTTTGTCTAACCAGAAAGTACGGATTTTTTTAGTATGGATGAACTTTACTACACATTACAAATACTTTCATATTTATATTTATTTACATCAATATCCTCGTATAAATTCTAAGCATCATAAGAATAAAATAGTCTTTAAATATCAAAACTATCACCAACTATCATTAAAATACAATATTTTATTAAATTCCATTCAAAAAGTCAATATTTACTTTTTAAGTGAACGAATGGAGTATATAATACTAACCGTAAATCTGTTGAAGTCTTTTTACGTAGGTAAATTTTGCAAAATATAGCATGATATCAGAGTTATGTTTCTTTCGGGTATACTAAAACGTACTCAGAGGCTTCTCGTCACTACATTTAGGGTGTGTTTGTTTGGGGGATTGGATTTTGGATTGAGATTTGAATAGTAAGAAAATCAAATTGGAATAGTTGTATGATGTGATTTAAATAATTATTGATTTGATATTTTGAATATAAAGTTAAATTTTAGTATAATATAGCCCTATTGAGTAATTTCCAGCGGGCTAGTCCCCGAAAATGTCCGTTCGTTTGTCGAAAAAGTTAGAGCTATTAACGATCTGAGCCGAGTCGAGCCAAGCCGAGCCAAATTTGAAGTGTTCGTTAACGTTCGCAACAAGGCTCGTGTTCGTTCGTTAAGCTTTCGAGCTCGTTCGTAGTGTTCGAGCTCGGCTCGTTAAGAATTTTTGTTGTTTGAGCTCGTGTTCGTGTTCGACTCGTTTAGGCTCGATTAAGCTCGTTCGAGTTCGTTCGAGCTCGTTTGTCTTATTTTTTAAAATTTATATATAAATTATAAAGAAAATTTAAAATTATTTTATTTATATATTTCAAATTAATATTTTATTTATTTACAAATTATAATTTTATATGTATATATAATATTTATAATAAATATATTATTTAAACGAACGTTCGCGAACAAAGCTCGGGCTCGTTTGTTAACCAAACGAGTCTGTTTATGTTGTTCGGCTCGACTCGTTAACATTTGCGAACGAGCTTTAACCGAGCCGAGTTCACGAACGGCTCGGTTCGTTTAACAACTCTAAATATAATAAATAAAAAATATGTATTTGATTTGATGTTTTTAGAGAATTTTTTGTGCAAATAGTATAAATCACTCAAAATCTTCCTGAATAAACACACCCTAATAAAGTCTTATATTTAACCTCTGACATTTAACTGTATTAAGAGCTCTATTTTTAACTCTTAACTATATTGAAAATATTTTTTTCAACTCTTTCCAAAATGAAAGTATCATTTCCAATTCTAACTCAGTGGATTATTCTGATTACATTATCTTCAACTTTTATTAAGAAATTCAAGTTGGTTACGATACCACTTAACTTTATATTTGGTTATAATTTTTAAATTATGTTTTTATTATATTAGATTAAGTTGTTATTATTTGCTTTTACATTGTCCGTATCACATTTATTTTATTATTAATAATATGCAATTTTAAAATTCTGCAAAATATAACAATTGCAAAAGATTGATTTGATGCAGATATATTTTTACCGAGAGCGTCGTCTTCGATAAGCTCGGAGTCGCGGAACAATGGATGACTGCAGCAAGTGTTCGTCCACACCAATGGAAACGTCACCTTCGTCGCGGATCGTTGCTGAAAAAATACGACGAACAATATATATGTTAGGACGACATAGGATACTCCAAATGCCGTCAATTCTTCGACACAACTCATCGGCCAAAACAAAACTAAGGTTGTGTTGAAGCAGCAGAAGAAACCTGAAGCAAAAGCTCGTGTTTTGAGTTAAAAAGAAAAACGCTGAATGCTCTGTGCAGCAGATTTTCGGACTCGATTTTTTCCATAAGATGGCCTGCAAATCGCAACGATTTCTAAATATTCTACGTGATATAAATACACATTTGATATAATATTTTAAATGTAAAAGATATTTTTAATATAATGTAAAAATAAAATATAGATGTTTGTAAAAAGAAAAATAAATGAATAGTAAAATTTCAAAAGTCGAGAATTATATGCAATTTTTTCGAAAAAAAAATACTGACCCGAACTTAAATTACCTGACTTCTAGACAACTCTGTCCAAACTATTATATATATATTTTTTATTTAAATATAGACTTTATTTACTTGTGTGATTTTACTATCGATTTTATTATTTTAATTTTTTTTTACAAAAAATCAAATCAAATATTTAATTTTTATTTATTTTACTATATTAAAATCTAATTTTACATTGAAAACATCACATCAATACATATTTATATCAAATCAAATAACTAATTAAACACACTTCTTCCTCTAAAAGTAAATAGATATAACGTCAAAATTTCATTTTCAATCAAAAGGTATAAAGCTTGGCTGGGCGGTCCGAGTGTCTTGTTTGTTTAGTATTGTCTTTATATTATTTTGAAATAGTAAAAAAATTTAAATATATATATACAAGGGTTTGTTTTTAAATTTTATAATCCACGAGTTTTTTAAAAAATATTTTATCAAAATAAATTTAGAATATTATGAGAATTAGTAAAAAAAATGATAAAATAAATAAATAAAATATAGTGAAAAAATAATTAATATTTATTAAAGTAAAAATAATAAAAATTATTTAATTCAAAATAAAACTATGTATTTAAATACGATTTTTTGGAGTTTTATTTTTTTTAAAAAATAATAAGTAAAAAATTAAGTATTTAATATAATACTCCATTCATCTTTCTATTTCGATTTATCCCATATAATTTTTTAGAAAAATATAATTATATTTTAATTATATTTTATAATTTAAAATTCATAATTTATTATTTTTTAATTTTAATTAATTATTTTAATTTTAATCTATAATTAATTTTACATAAAATTCTGTGACCCACCTACAAATTAGTGACCCACCTACAAATTAATTGGATAGAAGGAATATCTTATAAGATATTTAAAAAGATAAATATGTTAAATCTTCCTGCTTTGTTTACTTAATATTAACATTTTTTATTTATTTAAAACTATTTATTTTTAAAAAATATTATATAATATTTTTTATTTTATAAAATATCAAATTAAATATTATTTTTGGCCACTCGGAGTTTAGGGTTTATTTTTTGTCCGTTCATATTTGAATATTAATTATTATTTTAAAATATAGTATAAATTAAAAAAATTAAAAAATATATTTTTTATAAAAAAATTATACAAATATAAAAATATTTTTAATATTAAATAAATGTGTGAGAGTATTATTTTTTTATTTTATTTTTTTAAATTCCAAAAGTCTCCCCTAACAAAATTATTTAAGAGCATTTCCAACCGACTTCTATTTATAGTGTTTCAATCTCATTTTTGCCGAGATGCTGCTCCAACCATACGCTATTTCATGGTGTTGCACAGTAGCAAATGCCATTATTTATTTATTTTTTAAAAAAAAAAAATTTATTTTTAAAAATTATAAATTTAATTTTTATTTTTAATTTTTTTTTTAAATTTTATTTTAAATTATAAAAATAAAAAATTGTTTAAAATAATAAAAAAATTTAAATATTTAAAAAATAATAGTGAAAGATGAAGTTATGCACCTGCATATGCGTTTGAGATGGGCTAAGAAAGTTAACCAAACACCACCTAACTCAAACAAACCGACTTACAGTTATATTTGGTGTCGTGGCCGATCACTCGATCATTCTCATCGACCAATATGCATCTGCACAACACAGATCATTCAATTCACAATCACCCACAAAATAAATGAATAATAAAATAATCAGAATTGGGAATTGCGACGGATGCATACTCGTCTTCAAACATGAGTCGTCTCTGGACGGCGTCCATGCCGGAATCGTCTCCGACCGACGGAGGCGCGGCGGAGACGGACGAATGAGACGACGAAGAGACGCTGAGAGCACGGAGCCGTCGCCCGGGGGCAGCGGCGGAGATAGGCTTGAAAATAAGAGATTTCACCGCCGCGGCGGCGGCAGAGGAAGAGCAGCACGGCGGCGCCGGCAGCAAGTTTTGAAGGCGGGCGACGTTGCTTGCGAAAGACGCCATGTTTTTTCCGTTCTCCGATCGGATCGAGTATGTAATTTGTAGTCTGATTTTTGAAGAAATGCAAAATGGCAGAGAATCGGGCGAAATTAATTTGGGGATTTTGGGGTATTAGGTCACCGCCAAATAAATAAATAAATTGGTGTCTGTGTTTATAAATATTTTAATAAAAAAAGCATGTGAGGGAGGAAAACGAGGAACAGTTAATTTGTTAATTAGTCTATTTAGTACAGTAGACAGGTGTCGTGTTGTGGTTGGATATTTCACTCACTAGTTCGGTAGGTCTCCGTTGTCGCCTATTTATTATTACTATTATTTTTAATTATTATTATTATTATTATTAAGTATAAATTGAACAAAGGAAAAAAAAATTGGGGTCTGTTTGTTCAACGGGATTTGAGAAAATTCGAATTTGAGTTTGGTTTTTATTTGAATTTTTGAATGAGTTTGAATTGATGTTTCTTCTGTGTTTAGATTTTGTTAGGATTTTAGAAGTTTTGATATGTATTGATTTAATGGATAATGAATAAAATAATATAAATATGTATTAAATTTAATTGATAAAATTTATATTGTATGATTTGATTATGAAGTTATATTATACTCAAATATATATATATTATATATATTTTTTACCCTATAATTATTATAAATATTAAATAAATATAATATTTGAAAACTATATTTTTATTTTTTTTTATAAAATATTGCAACTTTTGCTGCAATTGTCACTGCTTGGGGGAGCCAGCCCTCTTAATTTTAGTCCAATAAAAATAAATTTTATTAATTTTAACCAAAATATAAAAAATTTATCAACAATTTCAATCAATTTTTTTTTTTTTTTTTTTTTATCAAGATTATCTTCTCTCAAAGGATAATCACCTTCAAGTTCTCAACATTATTGTTGAGAGAGTATCTTGTTAATGAATCATCAAACTCATCAATAATATTATGTTCCTATCATAATTCTACGTGTAAGAAAATAAATATATGTGAAAAATGCTTCAACATTATATTTTTTCTGCCAAAATCATTGAATTGTCATATGCCAAATCTTTTAAATTTTCTTCTACGTCACTTTTTCTCATGTCAAAAAGATCTTCTGAAGAAGTTTAGAGAGAGTCGACATTATATGCTTTATAAACATCATATACTATATCTTTTATTTCCTTATAAAATTTATAAAATTTGATATGCATTCCAAGTAATGATATTTTTTATTTTATCATAATGCTTCAAGTGACATTTTTAATCCTTGTGAAATTTGCATTTAAGTCATATAGGTTGATTCTCTGTCTGAATTTTTATTAGATCTGAAATATGTTCATCTAACCGTGCAATGGTTCTATTCAAACGCGTCATTTGCTCTGCGAGAGTGAAAATTTACAGATTTTGATTATTAAATGCAATCAGAATATTTTCACTTTTGTCTTGTTGTTTCTCTTTTAAATCCTAATTTTCAGATGTTACCAAAATACATATATTTTTTTTATTTTTCTCGGACCATTCTACCAAATAAATTGTATTTAAACAATTAATTTCTAATGACATTGAACATATTCCATCACGCTCAGTGACGAGGTCGTCAAAAGAGACGATGAACATGCACTACCACCGGGTCCAATTACTCGAAACCATGCCAAGAAGTTTCAAACTAATATTATGGCATTAGTTCTACACTTTGAAGAGAAAAACATGCACAAAGTTGAAGCATGGAGGCCAATGGGAAGAGCGTTTTCAACATTGAAGTGCATCCACCCTTGAAGACCACAATTTATAACACCCATGGAGTTTTTACTCACATCATTATCCATGTGGGATAATAGGTGTTTTATTTTATTTAATAAAGTGGGCCCCTTTAATCTAATTAATTGGACATCTCTTATTTACTTAATTAATGGGATATAAATAATATATAATTTTGTCCACATTGGTTGTAGAGTTCGTTTGCTAAGCTAGCCTCCCCTATAAATAAGGCACTTGGCTTCACTTGTTAGACACCTTGAAAATTATATCAATTAAAGTTTCTTTTTATTCCATTATATTGGAATTAGTGTGTAAGCGAGGGTTACCCTTGCATACGCGTATCATTCTCAAATCGGGTCCTTTGGTTCGTGGCTTCCGAAACTGACCGGAGTTTCTAGCCAAATCGTTCGAGTCTCCATTGGTTTAGAGGTGTTGGATCTAGGCAACGCTTGGGTTTACATCCGATCGATTGACGAATCGGACACCGGTAATATCTTTTTTTTTTTTACTTAGTTTCTTATTTGAATTTAGTTTTAAGTTTCGGTTAGTATAGTTTAGTTACTTGGGCTGCGTCATCAATTTGGTATCAGAGCCCGTTTTTATCGGAATTCTTATTCCGGTAGTATTAGTAGTCTTTATTTCATATTGCTAAATTATGTTAAGATCTTTTAAATTTTTGTAGTAGCATTATCATTGTTGGGCAAAAAAAAAAAAAAAAACTGCAGAAAATAAAAAAAAAATTACTGCAGAAAATAAATAAAAAAAAATGCTGCAGAAAAAAAAATATAAAAAAAATACTGCAGAAATTTTTTTTAAAAAAATATACTGCAAAAAAAAAAACCCTCTTTGAAATATATTGTGATTTTGAGTATTGTATCCACTTGTTTATTTTTGGATATCGATTTTCTTGCGGTTGTGCTTTCATTGTTGGTTCGTTGCTATTGTTGGGTTTGGCTTCTTGGGGTACACTCGTCAATTTATATTGGCTATATTCTGTGAAGTTTAGTTGGCTATAATTCGAGGGGCTTACCAAGGACCGTGAAATTTGAGCGCGTGTGTAAGACGAAGAGGTACATTACGTGGGTATACATGAGAGGGTGAGGAAATCATTTATCTAACCATCTATATATATATTTCCACTATAATTTTCTATGGCAGGTGAGAAAAGTGACGAGGAACATGATATGGCATCCGCATCAAGTTTTGACCCCAAAATGTTCGTGAAGGATATGATGGTGGAAGTACAAAAGGTACTTCGACATGAGGTTGAGGGACTCCATGCCCGAATAAATAAATTGGAAACATCGAGAGTAGAAGGGAATGCAGCCCCTCCACGTCCCCACATTGGAATTCCACCTCTAGGACGACGACAGCCCAGGAATGCTCCAAGGCATGAACGAGTTCGTGATCTTCTCGAAGATGATCGTGACATGACTGAGTATGATGGAGAAGTAGAGAGCAATGTTCCTCTTCGAGGACGACGAGGGGCACATAGGAGAGATGACAATGATCCAATTCGTTCTATGAAATTCCAAATCCCACCTTTCTACGGGAAATATGATTCAGAAGCATATCTTGATTGAGAGCGGAAGATTGAGCTGATCTTTGATTGTCAAGATTTGGATGGTCCACAAAAAGTCCGAGCTGCGGTCTCCGAGTTCAAAGATTATGCCATTCATTGGTGGGACAATATTTGCCTCAATCGAAGGCGAGGTGGAGCACCGATTATTCAAACATGGGAGGAGTTGACACGTGTTATGCGAGCTAAATTTGTGACGAGTTCGTATAGCAAGAATTGCATGTTCGACTGCAATCGATGAAGCAAGGAAATAGGACAGTCGATGAGTTCTACAAGGATTTGGAGGTGACTTTAATGCGGGCTGATGTTCGAGAGAGTCAACAAGCCACGGTAGCGAGGATCTTGACGGGGCTGAATCGAGACATTGCTGACAAAGTGGGATTGTATCGTTTTGATGATATTGATGAATTGGTGGAACGTGCTATTACTATTGAGAAGCAATTGAAGCGTAAGGGCAAACAGAAAGCATTTGGTACGAAACCCTTCACACCAAATTATACCAAGAAGGATGACAAAACTCAAGTGGCCCAAGGATTCGGTAAATGAAAAGGTATTATCAAGGATGACACGCCACGGAACAAGCATGTTGGAGCTGATCCGGAGAAGCCGAGGAATCGAGATATCATTTGCTTCAAGTGTCAAGGTCGAGGCCACATTGCAAGTCAATGCCCAAACAAAAAAACGATGATCCTCAATAAGTTTGGGGAATACGAAACGGAATTTGAAAATGAGGAGGGGGTTGATCAAAGAGTAAATGAGGAAAATAACACGGATTATGACTCTGATTCTGGTGTTGGTTTGAGTTTGGTTACCTTACGAGCCTTAAGTACTATGTCAAGGACCTTTGATGAGGAACAACGAGAAAATCTATTTCAAACTCGTTGCATAATTGGAGGCAAAGTGTGTAGCCTCATTATTGATAGTGGGAGTTGCAAAATATTGTAAGTGAACTTGCTGTTCGAAAATTGAATTTGCTAACAACACCCCACCCCAAACCATTCAAATTGCAGTGGGTTAGCAATTGTGGAGAGTTGAATGTGAATAAACAGGTGACGGTTCCTATCAAGATCAAAAATTATGAGGATGAAGTCGTTTGTGATGTGCTACTGATGCAAGCTTGTCACGTATTACTTGGGAGGCCATGGCAGTTTGATAGAAAGGCTCATCATGATGGATGTTTGAATAGATACTCATTTGAGTTTAGGAGTAGAAAGATATGTTTGAAGCCGTTGTCTCCAATGGATGTCCATGAGGACCAACTCTACATGCATCATCAATTTTTGGAAGAAGCCAAAGAAAAGAGAGAATGAAAAAAGAGTGAAAAAAATAAGAGTGAAAAAAGTGAGCATAGGAGTGAGAAAAGTGTGAGCGAAAAAAATAAGAGTGACAAAAGAGAGCAAGTGAGTGAACAACGCAAGAGTGAGCTTGAAAGAAAAATGCTTGTGAGCTTGAGAGAGGCAAAAAATTTGAAAGTTCATAAGGGAAGTTCTTATTTACTTTTGATTAAACCTGTTTATTTGTCTAAGCAAGAGCTAATGGAACTCCCTTCCAATGTTGTTTCTCTTTTGCAGGAATATCAAGATGTGTTTCTTGATGAGCACCAGATGGATCTCATTCCGGGTGCATCAATTCCAAATTGTCCAGCTTACAAGGCAAGTTCAGAGGAAGTCAAGGAAATACGTAGGCAAGTGGATGAGTTGCTTGACAAAGGCTGGATTCGCGAAAGCCTAAGCCCTTGTGTTGTACTGGTTCTTCTTGTCCCAAAGAAGGATGGTGGGTGGAGGATGTGCATCAATTGTCGAGTCGTAAATGCCATAACGGTAAAGTATCGACACCCTATCCCTCGTTTAGATGATATGC